CGGACGGTCGGATTGACAGATTAAGAGACAGTCTTAATGTGACTTTGGCTTGGGAATCAGTGGGAAGGCTGGTACGAGTCGGAGTAAAAATACAGCTTAACCTAACTTCATACGTCATTACTTGCGCGACGACTCCAAAACTGCTTCTGCGTGCTTAATAAACAGTATTACGATGCAAAAAGTGCAAAAGTAAAATAATGTAAAACGTTACCTGAAAATTTATAAATATTTTAAATCTCCGTCATGCACACCCCTTACAAAAAATTTAAGGGTAAACACTATACACGTTTCATCTAACAACAACAACTTATAAAATATGACTACCACCATAGATCATACAAAACAATTATTACCTACTGTTAACTATGTTGGAAAGAATGCAAAATTACTAGTACTTCCAATATTTCAATTCTCAACAACTTTTCCTTAGCGGAAGCCAAAACAAGCAAATTGCTGCATATAACTGCCATCTATTGGAAATATTTTTCATTCGACAGCGGCGGTTATTTTTAAAGCAACCTATATGCAGTATGCAACAAATTGCGAGAATTACAAGGAGTAAAACAAAAATACAGCAAACGATTGTCTAAATTAAGTTTGTCATGTTTATAATTTCGGTGTAACTTAAATATGGCATGAGAAGATACATTGTGACATCTTTGCACCATTTACAAGTACTATCACAAACATTCTATCCTATTACTCACAACAGATGTCGCAACAAGTCGCCAGGTACTGCCAAGCCACGTGATCTGCTCCACCAATCACAAAGCAAGTGAAACGTAGGTTATGAATTTTTGACAAAGAACAATATGACGGTAGATAATGGCAGTGGTGCAGAGAATAAAGATAAATATTCAATTCTTTTGCCTACTTACAATGAGCATGACAATCTACCAATTATCGTTTGGTTGATAGTGAATTATATGGACAAAAGGTGGGCATTTATAACTTTGAATTATATACACACAGGAACGATTTCATGTTGTTTTTAAGCTCACTGGTAATGAAGAACTGAAGTTTTATATCTGGTATTATTAAGAACAACATATTAAGACAAGGTTTTAGCTTCTTTCTTTGGAATAATAGGTTTATAGTATGGTGACCATAGGCTTGATCCTCTTTAACACAGTATTGTGTGCTGTCAAGAAGATGATACTGATTTTAACTCAAAAGACAGAAGTGACTGGTCACTTTTCTCTTTAGCTCAGAACATTTACCATATTGTAAAAATCATAATTTTCTATTTTGCAGTAACATTTTCATTTTATTAGGTATGTGTCTCACTGAAATGCTGTTACAATGTGCCTTCTTCATAATACCTTCCTACTCCTGTTCTTTAATTCTAGTAATTGTTTTTCATATCCCTGCTTGTACACTATAGTGATTATGACTATGAAATAATCATTATTGATGATGGGAGCCCAGATGGAACACTGGAAGTTGGAAAGCAACTTCAAAAAATCTATGGCGGTGAGAAAATTGTCCTACGCCCCAGAGAAAAGAAGCTTGGTCTGGGAACAGCTTACATTCATGGCATCAAACATGCAATTGGAAATTTCATTCTAATAATGGATGCAGATCTCTCACATCATGTAAGCTCATTGTCAGTTTTCATTTCAGGATAGGGAACATAAGTATGCACAAGAATGCCAATCTTGAAAAGTGAAGAGATAATGCAAACATGCTATTTCAAATAGAGTTACATGTCAACACTATTTAAAATTTGAAACCTAGTGACATGTAGTGTACTTTTAATAATTTAATATGATCAACATTCACTAGTAGCTACATAGTATAGAATTTATTTACATTCCATAGGTCCAAGCCAAGAATATTTCCCTGTATCCTTGGTCACCATTTTCAAGACTGCTTTTATTTTATTATTATTTTATTTTAATGCACATGTTAGCCTCTTTAATTACTTGAGTATCTTGCAATATCTTCTGTAGTAAATTTTCATTACATAATAGTTACTATATTGACAATTTAGGTAAAGATATAGTTTATGTTTGCAAGATATTTTGATGCCTTTAGTAATCCACTAATTATTTTCTGACAACTTTTCACTGTTTTGGTGCCGAAACTTGCTTCAAAATGTTTTAAGAAGATATATAAGAATGGGTTTAATTTTGAATCTACATTATGGCTGTTTAATACTGAGTCTTAGTTTTCATTACTTAGATGTGTTACATATTTAATAGTGTCTTCATTTATAAGTCTGATTTGTGTCATGTAATTGTGATAATTGGAGATTATTTCTGTCAATGGAAGTACTGGAGTAATTTGGAATTCTTGTGGGGAAATTAAACTACTGACATGAGATTACTTTGATTTCTAACTTCAGCTGTTTACTTTTCAGCCAAAATTTATCCCAGAATTTATCAAAAAGCAGAAATCTGGGAACTTTGATGTCGTTTCTGGAACACGGTACATTGGTTCAGGTGGAGTATTTGGCTGGGATTTAAAGCGAAAACTGGTCAGCCGTGGAGCAAACTTCTTAACACAGCTGTTATTGCGACCTGGAGCTTCAGATCTCACAGGCAGTTTCAGGTCTGCATTTTCTGTAACTTCTAAGTCTTCTTATTGTTATCCTACCAGTTTCTAAGTCTTACAGAAGATCATTCCAGCAAGTTTCCCTATAAAAATTTTATGTGAATTTTTTTCCTCCCCATATGAACTGCATATCCATCCCTATAACCTCAAATAATTCGCCACCCTGGCGATATTAGATGACCTGTATAGACCATCCATGGCCATTTCCATTTTTGATGTTTATCACTTCATGAAACAATATGAACTTCATTGTTTTTCCTGTTGAACTTGCCTCCAAACTTGTTATCGCTATGTACAGTAATATAAGTGAACTAGTTTTGACTAGTCTGCGACAAATCTAAGCTTCTTCCTTAGGATTTAATTGTCCCTCTGGTATTTCAGGCTGTACAAGAAGGATGTGCTGCAAAAGTTAATTGAAACGTGTGTTTCCAAAGGTTATGTCTTCCAAATGGAAATGATAATTCGAGCACGGCAACATGGATACACCATTGGCGAGGCAAGAAACATATTTTTGCTCATTTACAATTCATTAATTGGCTTCAGTAACTGATTTCATCTGGCTGAGGATACAGTGGTGTGCTAAAACTCTGTTCATGTTAACTGAATTTAAATTAATGCTCGTGCCAGTTGGGAAAGGAATATACCAGTCAAAACTACAGTATGAGACCTAATTACCTTTCCTATAAATTAAAGAAATTGATGTCATGCAGTGATCTAAATAAAATTGGTTTTCTTGTTTTTCAGGTACCAATAACCTTTGTTGATAGAGTTTATGGGGAGTCAAAATTAGGAGGTTCAGAGATACTCCAGTTTGCAAGAGGTCTTCTCTATCTGTTTGCAACAACATAATTGTAAAATTATGTGCAAAATATTCAGAGCTGTATATTTTAAATAATTATAAGTAATGTATATTTACCTAGAATTTTATTGCCATACATATTTACATGACCAGAAAAATCATTATTTGCCCATTCATCCCTATCCTGACCAAATAAGCCTAATTATGCCATGCACTTGTGATTTAAATCATTCTAACAGGAAGTTTATAACCAATTTACCACTAAAATCTACAGGCGACTCTTGTTATATGCGGAGATTATTTTTCTATGAATTTCTGCATATACTGAAAACACATAAAATGGGAAATGTATAACATACCCATGGATTTTCTGACTGATGCCCTATGAGAGGCCTTAATTTGTAGCCTCAAAATTAAAAATAATGGGACAACTCTGGGCCTATGCCGTAGCTTCTACCACTGCCACAGGTAGGTTATTGATCCTGCTCATGATATTGAAATAAAACTGCAAATAGCAAAAGCACACATGAAAAGCCATCTGTATTTTACCAGTTTCCATTGATTCTATAAAACCACTGTTGGAAAGGCCAATATGATTTACTTGAAGAAAAGATAAGAAGTTAATTTTTTCACTCAACAAGTCAAAGAGATCAAAGTCTCTTTCTCAGAAAAACAGATGGTACCCCTAGACCAAAAGATAAACAATTCTGAACTGACTTTTAAATATTTTTATAACAATTTATAGATCTATCTAATTAGTTTCCCCATGCATGCTTCAGAAGGCTCATAAAATCACTGTGTAGTTCTTACATATTCACTGGCACAAGCACTGCATACCATTTGATGAATTACCATAAAAATTTGAAGACCCTATATTACGTACTGCAAGTGTTGCTCTTAGGGTGGCCACACGCTACAGCTTACCAGAAGGCCTGCCTTCCAAGTTAAAGTCGGAAGGTAAGCCTCAAACCTCTGAGAGTCCACACAAGTACAGACTTTGTGGCAGGTCTGTGCTCAGTCTTTTTATTCTTCAGTCGATGCTACAACATGTTCAGTGAAGACGATGCGATTTTAATCGGTCTTGCTGTTACTTTAATGTTGAAAAAGAAAAGAAAGCTGAAACATTCTAAGTGGATCAGAAGTTGGTTAGACGGATCAAAACATTTACACATAAATTTGTTGAATGAAATTCGATTAGAACCGATGGACTGGCATAACTACCTGCGAATGGATGAGAACACATATTTGGAACTGTTAAACTTAGTTTAACGTAGTTAAACTACGAGAATTTGAAGTTCTCGGTGGCTGTTTGAGATGACTAAATGCTACAAGCCTTGCCTTTACCCTCGTCTCTACCCGCACATGTTACGACTTGTAAACATCCAGTAAACCTCGAGGCAAAAAAATCAAGCGACTACAGATTTATCGGACGCTCGGTTTCCGGCCAAATTCAACACACGCTCCAGTTTGCCAGAAGGTTGGCCTTCAGAGATGTAAGCCGTAGCGTGTGTGGCCACCCTTATATCACTTTACAAAATCACCATACTGGTTTTACAGATAGCAAGAAGTTAAAAATAATATAAAGATTCTGTGGCTATAATGGCATGATTTACACCCAAATTTGATGAAAATTTGTCCATCACTTCAAAATTTATGAAGGAGATATAAGACAGAGGACCACACAGACATAATACAGTAAGCATGTTTAAAATCGCTGTGTATTACTAGTACCTTAAGAAGAGCTGTAGTCTGCATTCAAAGTGAATAAGTCTGGAATACTATCATTCTATTTCAAACATAACCTAACCAAATTTACAAATCAAAAAGATTAAATAAACGTCACTTCATAACATTATTATTTTCCAACCCTACCACTCTGCTCAACAACTTGCAATGCTGTGTAGTTCATACCATTAAGTAAGTTCAAACAAGTAAGTAAGGATCACAGTAGAGACCTATGGCCATATGTGTATCGATTTCTAGATACTGGTCATAACAGAGAACTCATGGAGAGAGAAATTATCATGGGGTGACTTCATCAACCATCAATCCCATGTGCATCACATCACCAATATAACCATACAGCCAGCAGCCCCATATGGGGATTTAAATGTCTTATCCCATATGATGAAAGTCAAGTGTTGCTTTTCAATACACATAGCTAGTACATACAACTTAAGTCTGTGTAGGCAAGAGAGTTATAATAAAAAATGTCCTACTCTTCTAAGTAATAGAACTCGGTACATGCGTTTAGCAAATCCCTCCTGTGAAATTATGTTTGCATTTATTTATTTCTATGTGGAAGTATTCTGTCTGAGGCTTTCATTGAGGTTTCAAAACATAGTATAGTGTTCATTTTCTTAAAATACAATCTTATTTTCAAATTATATTCTTACAATTCTAGAAATTGTCTTTTAGCAGTAGTTTGCCAGTCATTAAAACAAAAACTGTTAAAGACTTGACTTAGTCTTAAAATATAAAGATTCTATTTCTATTTGAATAAAAATTTTCTTGGATATTATCCATCGTCTAGTAAATAAAATATAAAATGTAAAACGACGTTTCGGAGATGGGGCTCCATCTCCGTCTTCAGGTTCCTACTCAGTTGGGCCCACTAGATAGAGCTAATCCCTATCTCCAGACAAAGTAAAAAAGTGAAAGTCCCAGAATACAAGAACATCACCACACCATCCATCCGTGGGACGTAAAAGAATAAAATAGAAATAGTAAAAACATAATTCGTTAAACATGAAAAAGCCAAATAAAAACAAAGACACACAAAAAATGGGAATAAATACATTTGACCATTAATTTGAAACTCGATGCACAACTTAGACTTCTTCAGAGACGTCCGGAATCCACATGCGAGATAAATCCAAACTAGGCTGGCTGATAGGATTGGCAAGTAGTGCCATGTGTGCCGCCTCCTTGTATTTCCTGTAGACGGCATTAGGTTCTGTTAGTAACACCCTGGCTCCATCCCAACAGACATGATCATCTTCTTCATATGCATGTTGGGCCAATCTAGATTTCTCCAGCAGGCCCTGTCTGAAGTTATATTTATGTTACTTTATGCATACCTCCAGAGGTCTGCTAGCATCTCTGAAGAAGTCCAAGTTGTGCATCGAGTTTCAAATTAATGGTCATATGTATTTATTCCCATTTTTTGTGTGTCTTTGTTTTTATTTGGCTTTTTCATGTTTAACGAATTATGTTTCTACTATTTCCATTTTATTCTTTTACGTCCCACGGATGGATGGTGTGGTGATGTTCTTGTATTCTGGGACTTTCACTTTTTTACTTTGTCCGGAGCTCTATCTAGTGGGCCCAACTGAGTAGGAACCTGAAGACGGAGATGGAGCTCCATCTCCGAAACGTCGTTTTACATTTTATATTTTATTTACTAGACGATGGATAATATCCAAGAAAATTTTTATTCAAATGACTCATCACCATCGTCAAGAACTTTATGACTTGATATTCTATTTCTAATTTAACTTCAGGAAGAAAAGAACTCTGGATTCATACATTTAATACACACGTTTATTATCAACACTAAACTGTTCAATCAATAAGGAGTTGTAACACAATTGTTTCAAATCAGGCTAAATTTTTAACAAAAATGTGACAATTTAAATATTTTATAACAATGGGCAATTTTTTTTATTATTTATTAAATGATAACTTAAGATTGGTCCTCTGTTATAAACTGCATCCCCACACTTATTAAGGTGCAAATAATATATTGTACAAATTAGTTTGATATCTAATAATTATCCATCAGCTGTGACAGCAAAATGATAACTTGCAAATCACTTGGTTAATAACAACCCTCACTAAAGCAGTACCAGTTCAGGTGCACTGTGGTATTACCCGTATAGTAATTGGTCAACATTCCTGGATAATTTGTCTTGATTCATTAATTCAGGGCAATTTAAAGATCAGTTAATTATTCAACCAATAAAGTAGAATGAGAAAATATAGTTCAATTCTGATCTGACATACATTTTGGTATGGACAAATTCAGCAAGAAAATAATCTTTCATATAGGACTTACTATTTGTGATAGCTTTGATAATATTTTGTCTTAAAGCACACAGTAAGAACATGTGTTTTTTCACATGTTAGAGAGAGTTCTTAGATTCTTGGGTATGTTGTAGGGTTAAGTGGCTGCAGAAAAGCAATAGTTGTGTCTGGAAAATATGAATGAAGTACCAAGATGGTAGACCATACAGCCATGCAAGGTCAAGCTTAAACATGTTCTACCTCTTTTCAGACAAACTGCATTCCCCCATCCTTCACACTTTCCACATCTCTTCATTGGCAAATGGCTACATATGGGGACTTTAAAAACAGAGCATTTTTCCTTGATTGTGCATTCTGAGAGACCTATTATGAAATTCCCATGTAATTTACAGAATTTTGCATGACCATCTGAAGGTTGCTAAAAAAACCCTAACCATTGACTTTAAATGTGTCTTCACTGTAATGGCTCTACCCATGTGCATACCCTGTATGTATCATTTTATATGGAAAGTTGATTCATTTAGGGAATAAAGTATTCAGGGCTGCTATAATATATATATATATATATATATATATATATATATATATATATATATATGTGTGTGTGTGTATAAAGGCTATCACACTGTGATACATTCTATATTTGATGCATATACATAATAATTGTTAAGACTCAAAGATTTCCACCTACTGTGAATAGTGCTTTGCTGTTTTATACCATTGCAGATACAAATAAATTTCAATTAACATTTATAACAATGTAGCTGGCATTGGCCTAGAGAGAATGGAACCTAAGTTATTTGTTTTAGATCAGAACTCTTCTCACTGTGTGAAAGATGTTTATCATTATTACTAACTCTGCAAATTCAATGACAACAAACATCTATGAGTATGTATTATTTTCATATACTACTTAGGTACCGTCTTGATTTTTTGAAGTCGTGCCTGGATACAGAAAGATCTCTAATTAATACTAAAACCTTAATACAGACCTAAATACAAATTATTAGCTGCAGGAATGTAGACCTAAATACAAATTATTAGCTGCAGGAATGTAGACCAAATTACATGCTTTAGTGAGAATGTCTTG